GTGGAGCACAGGCTCCAGATGCGCAGGCCCAGCGGCCATGGCCAACAGGCCCAGCCACTCCGCGGCATGCAGGATCCTCCCGGACTGGGGCACGAACCCACGTCCTCTGCATCGGCAGGCGGACTCCCAACCACTGCGCCACCAGGGAAGCCTGGCAGGTGGATTCTTAACCACTGCACCACCAGGGAAGCCCTGTGGACCACTTCTGAGTAGAGAGGGAATCAAAAACATGCAAAGAACTATAGCTCAGATCACATCTTTGGAATTGCACTGCTTGCATGAATAATATCCTTTGTCATCCTGGCATGATCTTCGGATGGTGTCCAATTTTAAAATCACATTTCCTCTGTAAGGTCAGAGCAGTAAAGTAAGAGAAAGACAAGATTACCTTGTTAATACACGAGGACAAGCTGTAATGGAATTAAAAACAATCAAAGAGGGATTCAGAAAATCTCTCTGGCCTTGTTCTAGAAGATTTCAGAAGCATAAAACATCAGACATCAATTCTGAAGGGGATGCCAAGCAAACAGCAGCAAATCTGGGCTTTTAATAAGGGTTGAACAAAGTCCCTTCATAGGACTAAGACTCCTGACTGCAATACTTACAAAATGAGCTTTGATACAGGAAGGCAAGAAACAGCACCAGCACCTCAGAAGATCAAGGCTTCCACATGCTCTGCTGGCTTGAAGGCTGTATGTTAAAGAAATTGTTTCCCCATTCAACAGCCTGGACTGAATTTCCTTTCAAATATAGCATGAAACTACAAATCCTGTACTTTTTTTTATTGCTATCATTCATACCATTCATACCATAAAATTCACCATTTAAAAGCCTACGTTTCAGTGGTTTTTAGTATAGTCACAGGTCCATCACCACCATCTAATTCTAGAACATTCATCACCCCAAAAAGAAACCCGAAATCCATTAGCAGTTCCTCCGCATTCCCCCCATATCTTGAAGTCCTAGGCCACCACTAGTTTATTTTCTGTCTCTGGATTTGCCTGTTCTGGACATTTCATATAAATGGACTCATACAATATATGGCCTTTTGTGTCCAGCTCCCTTCCCTTAGCATGTTTTTAAAAAATTATTACTGTAAAATATACATAATATTTACCGTTTTACCATTTTCATGTGTAGAGTTCAGTGGCATTAAGCACATTCACATTGTTGCCTAACTATGGCCACCATCCATCTCCAGAACTATTTTCACCTTCCATACTGAAACTTTGTAACCAAACATCATGTTTTTAAGGTTCCTCAATGGTACAGCATGTATCAGTACTCCCTTCCTTCTTATGGATGAATAATATTCCTCAATGTTACAGCATGTATCAGTACATGCTGATATACTCAGCATATACTCAATGTTACAGCATGTATCAGTACTTCCTTCCTTCTTATGGATGAATAATATTCCATTGTATGAATATACCACATTTAGTTTATTGATTCATCAGCTAATGGACATTTGGGTTGTTTCTACTTTCTGGCTATTACGAACAATGTTACTGTGAATATTCATGTACCATTACCTATTTGAACAAATTTTCATTTCTTCTGAGTTTATACCTAGGAGAGGAGTTAACTGTACCATGGTAATTCTATGTATAACTGTCTGAGGAAATGCCGGACTATTTTCCAAAGGGGCTGCACCATTTTACATTCCCATCAGCAGTGCATGAGAGCTCCGATTTCCCCACATCCTCACCAACACTTGTTACTTTCCATCTTTTTGACTGTAGCCATCCTAGTGGGTGTAAAGTGGTATCTCATTGTGGTTTTCTGTAAAGATGTTGAGCATTTTTTTCAAATGCTTATTGGCCATTTGTGTATCTTCTTTGGAGACATGTCCATTTGCCTATTTTTAATTAGACTATCTGTCTTATTGTTGAGTTGTAAGAGTTCTTTATATATTCTAGATACAAATCCCTTATCAGATATGATTTGCAAAATCCTCTCCTGTTCTGTTGGTGGTCTTCTCACTTTCATGATAGTGTTCTTCCAAAAACAAAAGTTTTTATTTTGATGAAGTCAAAATAAATTTTTTTCTTTCCAAGTTTTTCTTTCATTGCCTGTGCTTTTGGTGTCATATCTAGAGAACTGTTGCCTAATCCAAGGTCACAAAGATTTACCCTTATGTTTTCGTCTAAGAGCTTTAGAGATTTAGTGGTCCATTTTGAGTTAATTTTTCTATATGCTGTGAAGCACAGCTCTAAATTCATTCTTTTGCATGTGGATTCACATGCAAAACTCCAGCCTCTAATTTTGAAATCATCAGCAAGAAACGTAGAGAATGGCCTTCCTTTGGTTTCCTGGTAGCATTTTCCCCCAACCCCCGGCCCCACCACCCAGCTGAAAGATTCTGTTTTACAGCAAAACAATTTGTACAGACCAGGGGGCCAGGGGCCCAACTCAGCATCTTCTCAATAAATCTCCACTGAATTTTGCTGACATGCACACAGGAGTAGTTCTGAATTACTAGTTGTCTAAAAATGACTTCTAGTGAGGGAGAGCAATTTCTTCATTCAATCCCATCAGCAACTAGTTATTGAGTGCCCATTATGTGTCAGTGATTAAAACAGAGACTTCTGCCCTACAGAGCTTACATTCTTGTGGGGAGAAACAGACAAAAAAACATAGCAAGTACATTATATAATATGCTAGAAGGCAGTAAGTGCTGTGGGGGAAAAGTGCAGAGCAGAGCAGAGCAAGGGGGATGAGGCATGGGGCGGGGTGGGGTCTGCAATTTTGAAAATGGGGTCCTTTCAAAAGTGACTTTTAAACAAAATCTTAGGAGTTAGTGAGGGATTTGACCATGCAGATACCTGGGGGAAAGGATTCCAGGCAGAGGGAACAGCCATTGCAAAGGCCACAAGGCCGAAGCCTGCCTTGGCATTCAAGGAATAGGAAGGGGGCCGGCATGACTAGAGCAGATTGAGGAAGGGGAAGTGGTCAGAGAAGGCCAGATCATGTAGGTCTCGTAAACCATTTTAGGGACTGTGACTTTTACTCTGTGGTAACTGGGGAAAGCCACTGGGAGGTTCTAAGCTGAGCAGTATTGTGATCTGACTTACAGTTCAAAGGGTCATTCCGGCTGCTGGGTTGAGAATGGATTGTGGGAGGACAAGGGTAAGAAGAACAGTTAGAGTGCTTCTAAAATAATCTAGGTAAGAGATGGGGTGGGGGGGGACCTGAGTGGCAGCAGTTGAGACAGTGAAGAGGATGTGGGAGAACCTGAAGAATGTCCTGGTTGATGGGACTGTAATAGAGGCAGGTGTCAAAGGTGACTGTAGAGCTTTTGGCCTGAGAACCAGAAGGATGGAGTTGCCATTCCCTGTGATGGGGAGGCCACTGGGGAAGCAGGACTTGGGGAGGGGACGCAGGGAGCTCAGCTTGGGGTGTGTGGAGCTTGGGATTCTCTTGACTTCCAAGTGGAGGGATCTTGTAGGCAGATGGATATTTGAAAATGAGAACCTGGACTGGAGATACAACTGTGAAGGAGTCAGCCACAGGCAGGATGAGATACCAAGAAAAAGATGATGGACAGAACAGAGCCGGGGACCACACTCTGGGAACCTCTGGCACTGAGATCCAGAGGAGAAGAGGAACAGCCATGGAGGCCATTTTCCTAGCAGTTTGGTAGCTACTTATGTACGTCTTGTCCTTCCCTCCCTTTAAATGGGTACCTACTATGTACCAGGAACCGGAAAAGATGTTTAGCCCTCAATAAACTCATAGTCTACAGGAAAGACATAAAATGCACATTTCTAAAATAATGGAGATATAGGCAATAACTGAGTAGGAAACTTGGCTTTTCAGTTGTTAACCAACTACACTAACTATACTACAGACATCTGTTTGTAACCTAGCACAAGAGTTGGGAATTCAGTTGTCTTCAGCGCTTCCCTCCCATGTTTAATTATTATCAGAAGACTGATTCACTTGATCCCATAAGATTAAATTCATGTTCGGTTTAGGAAAAAAGAGGTTTAGAGGACTAGTCCACACTATCCTGGTGTCACAGTCCTTCAAAGCAGGCCCCACTGTGGCGAGTTGGCCCATCACGAGGTACTGATTAAACACAGGGCGCTGGGTGGGAGGCAAGGACCCAGTGACGTGATTCTTCTCCACGAGAAGCTGACAATCTAGTCCAGGGGTCCCCAGCCCTGACCCACCCCAGAATCGCCTGGGAGCTTTCGAAACCATTCTGATCCTGGGCCCCACCCTAATTCAGTTAGAACTTTTTTTTCGCAACCTGAAAAATTCTAAAATGCTCTTCAGGACACTCTAATGTGCAGCCAGAGAAAAGAATACTACTGATCTAGGTTTTTTCATAAATTTAACAATTTGAAAATCATAAAAGATTTCAACAAAGTATGAAAATTATAGTCCGTTTTGGCCCATTCTTTTGGGAACAGACCTAAAGGAAATGATTATAATTCAACTTCACAAATAATCCACAATTTAGTATATTCTCTGATGGAAGTAACCTGCTCTAAACCCACAATTCACAATAAAAACAATGTCAGTCAGTCTTCCGCTTACCTGATGGGCTCAGCAGTCTTGCTTGGTCAATCGTAAACATCACTGTGTTTTAAATTACTTTGTGTTACTAGTAAACTCTTTTTTTTTTCTCTTGAAGATTTCTGTTACTTTCTTAATGATTCATTCTTAATGCTTTATGAAAAAATTAACTACAGACCAAACAAGGACCAGCTTATTTTGCTATAATCTGAATGCACCTGGTGAACTGTGAGCCTTATGGCCATAAAGCAGCACAGAGAAAAATCAACACTGGAGGGGCTTCCCTGGTGGCGCAGTGGTTGAGAGTCCACCTGCCAATGCAGGGGACAAAGGTTCGTGCCCCAGTCCAAGAAGATCCCACATGCTGCGGAGCGGCTGGGTCCGTGAGCCATGGCCGCTGGGCCTGCACGTCCAGAGCCTGTGCTCCGCAACGGGAAAGGCCACAACGGTGAGAGGCCCGCATACCGCAAAAAAAAAAAAAAAAATCAACACTGGAGAATTTTATTAACAAAAAAACCTCTCGCAGTTTATTAACAAATTCACAGAACAGTAACTGTACGTTTCCTTTTCTGCTATTGTCACTTGTTAAATTACTATCATCGTATATACACAAGGAAAAGTGGACATACTTTACAGTCTTTCTGATAAATATATTGCCATGCTGCATCCAGCCTGGATAACGCTCTTCAGAACAGCGTACGCTGGAGCCTGTTAAAAACAACAACAATAAGCAAACCAAAGAAACCTGCTCTATGTTCACCTTCAGTTGTAAGGTACAGGCCTGGCATGGCAGGGTTGGGACCTCTTTGGATAAGTAATAAGATCTAAGAAACAATTTATTTTAATTGGGGGAAAAAAAAAAACTATTCAAAAGACTGGAATGCCTCTGCTGCATCCAAAACGTTTGACCCAACTGGTTTCTCACCTGAAAGGGAGAAAGTGCTGGGTAAAAGGATAAGGAAGAGAAGCAAGAAATAAGATTCCCAGTTGGGAGCAAGGCATTTGCTGGCTTTCTGTCAAGCAATGTATTGGTTCTCTTTGTCTGACAGCCACTTTGTATCTTTCTGGGAACAGAAACCTTCCCATCCCTCATCCTTCCAAATAAGGCGCCACCACAAGCAAACAGTAAAGGGGGGTCCCCACCAGTTCTGCGTCGTGTTCGAGGCCTATGTCATGGTGCTCAAGCTCTTCATCCCGAAATTTCCTTATCACCTGATTAAGGAAAAAGAAATGGAAGCAAGTCAGCCTACCAGCTCCCTGCTGTTCTGATTTATTTTGGAGGCTAAAGCCTCATATTAACATCTAAGACACAGGTAGGCAAACTTTTCCTACAAAGGGCCAGAGTCAGTACTTCAAGCTTTGGGGGCTGTAAGGTCCCTGTCACAACAACTCAACTCTTCCATCGTAGAGGGGACAGTAGCCATGGACATGTAGACAGATGGGTGCAGCTGTGTTCCAACAAAACCTTATTTACAGAAACAGGTGGTTGGCCACTGACTTAGCTTCAAAAAAAATTAAACAGTTCCCTTATTTGCTGTAGAAAATTTCTGAGGATATTTATTTATTTAATCTGAAGGGTTTGTACTCATGGCATTTGCTCAGAATCTATCCATGATCTGAAAGCAGAGAAAATACAGATCTGGGCTCAGGAAACACGGGTTTCAGTCCCAGCTCTGCCCAAGCACGTGACAGGGCATACAGCTTCAGCTGCCTCAGTTTGCTTGCTTTTAAAATGAGGTGCTGCCCTAGGTTTCTGAGGCATCGCAATTCCCTAACACTCTATTTTGTTCCTCTTACCAAACTGCACATCTGCCCTTCCCCCCAGCAGCCCCTTCCAGAGCCAGTCAAATACCTGAAGAAGCTGTTCGTATTTTTCAGGCTCCTTCTCCATCAGCATCCTGATCTGGTTGTTGTAGTGGTGTGCTATGGACTCTTCCACAGCAACTGTGCAGGCCATTGCGCCCTCCTTCCCAAGCAGGGCAGTTCCCGCACCTGGAATTGTCAGACCCAGAAGGCAAAGGATGGGGCTGATACCACTGGGGATGGAGATCAGTTGAGGTCAGGGTTTGTCACCTTGGCACCCTGGACTCTGGGGCTGGATAATTCCTTGTTGTGGGGGAATGTCCTGAACACTGTGGGCTGTTCAGCAGCATCCCTGGCCTTTACCCACTAGATGCCAGTGGCATCCCCAGTTGTGACAACCAAAAATGTCTTTAGATGTTGCCAAGCATCCTCAGGAGCAACTTGCCCCCCTTGAAAACCATGGTTTTAGGTGGCACCAGATCACAGTGTTAAACCCTGAATCACATAGTAAGAATGCTCTTTTTTCAATGCTTTTTCTAACCTTCCGATTATGGCAGGAGTGAGTCTTCACTGAGGGTGAGTGTGTTTTGGGTTCCTCTATACCACTGATTCCCCCCGCCACCCTTCTTTTTTTGGCCGTGCCTCGTGGCTTGCGGGATCTTAGTTCCCCGACCAGGGATTGAACCCAGGCAGTGAAAGCGCCGAGTCCTAACCACTGGACCACCAGGGAATTCCCTGACTCTCCCTTTTTAAGAGTGAGCAGATCTCAGGTTTAGAACCTTCATCAGGGAACACCATCTGGCTACAACTGAACTGCTCTAGCTCTTTTCCTCTGTTGTATTTATTTTCACTGTAACTTTTATTTATAAAAGTACTGATTTTAAGATTCTATCTTAAATAAATGTAAGCAAAAAAAGTCAGTTAACTTCAGAAAAATATTAAGTAAATTAAAAGGTTGTAAGAGGACACAGCAAGAATTGTAGAAGTGGTTATGTAATGATTCAATCATCCCAGATCCCTAAGCTCACACAGGCTCTTCTGGACAGACACATACCCAGTGCAAAGCCCACCACATTCCAAAAGGGCATCAGAATGGTTGGCCGCACCCTGAATGCAACCATCAACTCATTGAACTTTTTCAAGTGGTCCTTTTCTTGATCCCACATTTTCTGTAAGAAACATAAAAACAAAGACATGCAAGCATTCCACAGAGACCGCCTGCTATATATACCAAGGAAACTAATGCCCTGTCCATGTGGCGTAAAGGAAGCAAAACGGGCAAAATGATGAGAACTGCTATTTCCCCCATTCCCCTTGAATCATCGAAGAAAAACCCTAAACATCAGGCTACGGAGAAGAGAGTGACAGCAAACCAAAAGAAGCATCTGTAATCTTAATTCCAGACAGGCGGACCCCGACCATGGTGCCAGAAGAAGCTCCTCCGACCCACAACGCGCCTATTCAAGGACAAGAGTGCGCACCCAAAAGAAATGAGATGTTTAGCCCATTTCAAAATCAGAAGGGCAGAATATTACATTTTATATAAGTTGCTTTCAGACAGCCAGAAATGTATCATTTACATCAAAGAAAAAAGGGAGAATGATTATAAGAGCTAACACTTAAGAGTATGTCCTATGGCCAAGTACTGTCAAATAGCTTTACATACGTAATTAACTTAATCTGCACAACTGCTTTGTGAAGGACAAACTGTTATTATCCTCATTTTACAGATGAAGAAAGTGAGGCACAGAGAGGTTAAGTAACTTGCCCAAGGGCTCAGAGCAGACAATTTAACATGTGCTAAGTGTCTGTTACATGCCAGGCATGGTACACCAGCTCATTTATTCTTCACCAAAACCTAATGAGGTGTTAACAGCTCATTTTGCAGATATGGAAATGGAGAGGTCATGTGACTTCCCTCAGGTCACACCGGGAGAGAGCTGGAATGTGAACCTTGCTCTGTGTGACTATAAAGCCCAGGCCCGACTGTCTGCCTCTCAATATAAAATATCTCCACTGGCCTCCCCTATGGGCGGGACCAAAACGTCTCACAACTGGCGCTTTTACTTAACGCTATGACTCTCAGCCCTTTTTTATCGCCCGCACCGCCCCCAACAAGACATTTTAATACTACAGATATACTGTATGTGTTTATGTACTAAATGTATGTGCTTGATAAAAAAAGAATAATATGCTTTTTACTCCTCCACCCCCACCCGCACAACCAATTCTTGCTTGCCTGGGGACAACAGTATCTCCCTTGAGAAGGCATAACCCAATGCAATTTATTACTCAGATAAAGAGGCGCCCACCTGAATGACCGGCCCAACGCTCGTCCGACCCAGGATGGCCATCTGCCCTGCGTAGATGCGGTTTGCTCCATATTCACCTGCATGATCCACCCGGATTATTCGATCCACAGCTGCCCGACTGATACTGTCTAAGGTCATTCCCGAACTGCAAAATCTGACACTGATTCTTCTTCCATAAGCTGCAACGCAAGTGTTTATTCTCCATTACTCTCGGGTAAAACTGAGATGTTTCCTTCATAGACAGAAGAAAGAGGAACCTTAGAGCAAAGGTCACAAATAAGCTCCCCATAGGTTGGGTACGCCCACAGGTGTATTCTGTTTAACCTGCAATGGTTTTTGTTTTGTTTTTTAAAGTAAATTAGTTACCAATATTTAAAACATAGATTTTAACTAAAGATCTGGACTCTGGCTTCAATCTAAGTGTATGATGATCTAGAAATACTGATCCTGTCTTCTCACCAGGCAGTTAACGTGGTAGCTGCCTCTAGATGGGCATGGTTCTCCAGTCCACCCACTCGTCCCGGCTTGCTCCGTTCCCAACCCTGGCTGCACAGAACCCCTAGGGAGCTCTCAAAAGAACGGATGCTCCTCCCCAGTTCATCTCTGGGACGGGGACACTGATGTTTTTGAGAAGTTCTGTGCACAAATCCTCTCTGCAGCCAAGGTTACGAACTGTAGATTTAATTTCTCCTAAAAATAGCCGCACCCGTGGGCATCTGACTTTGAGAATTTAGCCTTAGAGCTTAGGTTTCATCTCATTATGGTACTTAATTCAACTGAACTCTTCTTGCTTTCAAAATATAAATTCTTCAGGATAGATTAGATTTTGTCTTTTAAAAAAATCTCCAAACAGTAACACCTTGACTGTAATCTCTGAGGCTTACATTAGGGCATTCCCAAAGTTCTCTCCCCTAAGAGAAGAGTTTTGTAACATGTTTAGATGTATAAGGTGTTATCAACTCATTTTGAAGATATGGAAATAGAGACTCAGAGAGACCATTTAGAGAGCCCAGAAATAAACCCACATACCTATGGCCAATTAATCTTTGCCAATTAATATACAATGGAGAAAAGACAGTCTCTTCAGCAAGTGGTGTTGGGAAAGCTGGACAGCCAAATGTAAATCAATGCAGTTAGAACACATCCTCACACCATACACAAAAACCAACTCAAACTGGCTTAAAAACTTACATATTAAGACATGACACCATAAAACTCCTAGAAGAGAGCATAGGCAAAACATTCTCAGACATAAATCACACCAATGTTTTCTTAGGTCAGTCTCCCAAGGCAATAGAAATAAAAGCAAAAATAAACAATGGGACCTAATCAAACTTATAAGCTTTTGCACAGCAAAAGAAACCATAAACAAAGTGAAAAGACAACCTGCGGACTGGAAGAAAATATTTGCAAACGATGCAACCAACAAGGGCTTAATTTCCAAAATACACAAACAGCTCATACAGCTCAATAACAAAAAAAACAAACAACCCAATCAAAAAATGGGCAGAAGACTTAAACAGACATTTCTCCAAAGAAGACAAACAGATGGCCAACAGACACATGAAAAGATGCTCAACATTGCTAATTACAAAAATGCAAATCAAAACTACAATGAGGTACCACCTTATACCCATCAGACTGGCCATTAAAAAGTCTACAAATGGGCTTCCCTGGTGGCGCAATGGTTGAGAGTCCGCCTGCTGATGCGAGGGACACGTGTTCGTGCCCCAGTCCGGGAAGATCCCACATGCCGCGGAGCGTGAGCCATGGCTGCTGAGCCTGCACGTCCGGAGCCTGTGCTCTGCAACGGGAGAGGCCACAACAGTGAGAGGCCTGCGTACCACACACACACAAAAGTCTACGAATAACAAATGCTGGAGAGGGTGTGGAGAAAAGGGAACCCTCCTACACTGTTGGTGGGAATGTAAACTGGTGCAGCCACTGTGGAGAACAATATGGAGGTTCCTCAAAAAACTAAAAACAGAGTGGCCATATGATCCAGCAATCCCACTCCTGGGCATATATCCAGACAAAACTCTAATTCGAAAAGATACATGCACCCCAATGTTCACAGCAGCACTATTTACAATAGCCAAGACATGGAAGCAACCTAAATGCCCATCGACAGATGAATGGATAAAGAAGATGTGGTCTATCTACTTACACACACACACACACACACACACACACACAATGGAATACTCTTCAGCCATAAAAAAGAGTGAAATAATGCCATCTGTAGCAACATGGATGGACCTAGAGATTATCATACTAAGTGATGTAAGACAGAGAAAGACAAATACCATATGATATCACTTATATGTGGAAACTAAAATGTGAAATTATTAAGAAATTAACAAGTGAACTTATTTAAGAAACAGACTCACAGACATAGAAAACACACTTATGGTGACCAAAGGGGAAAGGGGGTGGGGGAGGGATAAATTAGGAGTTTGGGATTAGCAGATACAAACTACTATATATAAAATAAACAACAAGGTCCTACTGTATAGCACAAGGAACTATATTCAATATCCTGTAATAAACCATAATGGAAAAGGAAAAAAAAAGTACAGTATGGATCACAGATGGGCAAAACATTATTTCTAAAAATCTCCTTTACCAATATAGGAGATTTTTCTCTATTTGTAACCACTTTAAAATAGTAGAAATTACATTCTGAAATTCACCACATGGTCATTAGTGTTTTCTCTAGGTATTGGGGTTGACATACTAAATTTCTTCCTACTCCTTTTCTCTATTTTTAGTTTTTCTACAGAGAACATTATTGCTATTATTATTTCCACTTTACTGTTAGTGAGAATGTACACTGGCGCAAATTGGTTTCTTAAGGGGAGGGTTGGGAAGGGAAGATTTAGCAACATATTTCTACAGTATGGATCACAGATGGGGCACAGAGCTAGAGCCAGAAAATACATATCCTGTCTCTAACACAGACCTTAGACAATTCAGAATTGCCATTTCTTACATGTAAAATTGGGAATTATCAGGTTATTTCCTTTTTAAGGGAAAACACGCAATAATAAAACCTTTCTTACTGAGTTATCATGAAGGTAAAATGAGATACAGGAAGCAAAGTAACTCTTTAAGTGAAAAAGAATGATTCTTATTCTGGTATTGGCTCAACTAAGGAGCATTAAAAACCATGTTCAACAGTCCTCTGAGTTTTGCCTGCACTGTCACACACTTTAAAATAAAACTGAGAAATAATAAAATTGAGGCCCAGTGCTAGAAGCTCTCAAATGCATCATTTTATATTCATGTTTTCCCAAAATGTGAAACACATACCTATGATGGTACCTAGGAGATTTCATGTGGTTTATAGGAAGACCTTAAGTGGCTATGAACATGCATTAAATATAACACCCATATTTTTAGCAAGAGTTATTATTCTCTTCCAATTTTTTTGTCTTCATCAAGGAGATGGTCTCAGTTTACAGCTGACGCATCTTAAACATCTTCCTAACACTTGCTAACCTCCCTTTCTTACCAGAAAGAAAGATGATCTTGGGTTCAAGCCTTGGTAGGCAACAGTATCTAATACAATAACTTCTTGTTTTCAGCGTATTTACTTTTTATGATTACTTTTCTTGGGACAGGCGATACTGATTTTCCGTTTACCATAAGAATCTAGTTTCCGTGAAATTACTTAATTTAAAAATGGGACACGGTTTAGGGAAAAAAAAAAACCCTTTAGTAATCAAAACACAAGTGGTATTGCTATAAGGCAAAAGTCGTCAAGGTGGTACACGAATGATTTAACTTTGAGAAAATGACCTCACAATTTTCTGAGGCAGCTCGGATGAAATGAGCAAAGGAGGAGCTAGGATCCAAGCCTCCCAATTCGATGCTCCTTCCAATACCCTGGTGCCTCTCAAACTTGCAAATGCACACGAATCATTCGAAGGTCTTGTTAAAATACTGACCTAGAGATCCAGTAGGTCAGGGGAGGCACCTGAAAATCCGCGTTTCTAACAAGCTCCGGGGTGAGGGGTGGAGGTGTCGGGGGCAAGTGGACGCTGCTGGTCGTAGGACTACCTACGAGGCCCTGGGCAAAGGTTACGAGGACACCCCCCACCCCCCGTCCCCGGGACACTACACTTCTAAGGTCGCCAACTGTCCTCAGTCCAGAACGCCGACCACACCTGCAGTGACATCACGTAACAGGTGCGCAATTAGGTCATCCCCAATGCGCCGACCCGGAACCAGTGCTCCAGACGGTTTCTGCGGAAAACCACCCCACTTCCCGCCCAGCGGACCCGCGGCGCACTACTGGCCTAGCCCCGCTTTTCCAGCCGCTCAGTCGCGCTCCGTCGCAGCCCTGTGACGTAGTGAACGTCTTCCCCGTGACCTCTCCGACCCAAGCCTCAGGAGAAAATTCCCTGGCTCGCCGGCACGGGGCGGGGCCACGGTAATGCTCCCCCTTTACCTGAGAGGGACTTCGGGGCGCCCGTGCGCAGCTGCCACAGACAGCAAGCCGCCGCCGCCCGGGTGCAGCTCATTGCCGCGGCAACAGGGGAACCACTCTTTGAACAGAGCAACCGTGCCCTTGGCGCAGACTGATGACGCACGGCCGACGTAAGGCAGCTAAGACCCGCTCTTGCCTCGGTGGAAACGCCCTGGGCCACCTGCTTCCACTGGATTGGTTGGAAACGTCGAATGAAAAGATTCTATTGGATACGATCACTATCAATCACTCAGACCGACCGGGTAAAGGGTTGCCATGGAGATGAGAATGCTAAATTGTTCTTTCAAAGATCCCGACGGGGTAAAGGTTACTCAGTTCCTAGGAAGGAGGGCCATGAAGGAATTGTTTACTGGCATAGCCATTTTATTTTATGCTTTACCAATATAGGAGATTTTTCTCTATTTGTAACCACTTTAAAATAGTAGAAATTACATTCTGAAATTCACCACATGGTCATTAGTGTTTTCTCTAGGTATTGGGGTTGACATACTAAATTTCTTCCTACTCCTTTTCTCTATTTTTAGTGTTTCTACGGAGAACATTTATTATTGCTATTATTATTTCCACTTTACTGTTAGAACGTACATTGGCGCAAATTGGTTTCTTAAGGGGAGGGGTGGGAAGGGAAGGTTTAGCAACAGATTTCTTACTTTTAAGTCTATATCCAATCTGTCAATGTAGACTCATCAATTGTAACAAATGTATCACTCTGGTGGGGAAGTCGGTGCATGTGTGGAGGCAGGTGGTATATGGGAAATCTCTGTACCTTCCTCAATTTTGCTGTGAACCTAAAACTGCTGTAAAAAAAATTAAGTCTTAAGAAAAAAAAATTTGGACACTTTAAAAAATGCATATCCACTGATACAACAATCCTACTTCTAGGAATCTATGGAACAGAAATAATTTTTCGAATGTGTAATGTATATGAGGGCAAAAAATCAAAGGTGCATACCTGAAAGGATGTACAGCAAAACGTTTAATAATGGTAACTTCAAGGGGTTGGGATAGTGAGAAGGGGGCTTTCATTTTTTACTTTACACCCTTGGATTATACATCTTTATATATATATCTATATATATCTATATCTATATCTACCTATCTATCTATATATATATCTTTATTGGAGTATAATTGCTTCACAATGCTGTGTTAGTTTCTGTTGTACAACCAAGTGAATCAGCCATATGCATACATATATCCCCATATTCCCTCCCTCCCACCCTCCCTATTCCACCCCTCTAGGTCGTCGCAAAGCACTGAGCTGATCTCCCTGTGCTATGCGGCTGCTTCCCACTAGCTATCTTACGTTTGGAAGTGTATATGTGTCGACGCTACTCTCACTTCACCCCCAGCTTCCCCCTCCCCCAGACCCCCCCCCCCCCCCAGCAGCCACACTGGCCTTCTTTCTCCCCCCCCCACCCCCGTCCTCAAGTCTATTCTCTATGTCTGCGTCTTTATTCCTGCCCTGCCACTAGGTTCAGCACTACCATTTTTTTAAAATTCCATACATATGCGTTAGTATACGGTATTTGTTTTTCTTTCTAACTTACTTCACTGTGTATGACAGACTCTAGGCCCATCTACCTCACTACAAATAACTCAGTTTTGTTTCTTTTTATGGCTGAGTAATATATGTGCCGCATCTTTATCCATTCATCTGTTGATGGACATTTAGATTACTTCCATGTCCTGGCTATTGTAAATAGTGCTGCAGTGAACATTGTGGTACATGTCTCTTTTGGATTTATGGTTTTCTCAGGGTACATGCTCAATAGTGGGACTGCTGGGTCATATGGTTGTTCTATTTTTAGTTTTTAAAGGAACCTCCATACTGTTCTCCATAGTGGTTGTATCAATGTACATCCCCACCAACAGTGCAGGAAGGTTCCCTTTTCACCACACTCTCTCTAGTATTTATTATTTCTAGATTTTTTGATAATGGCCATTCTGACTGGTGTGAGGTGATACCTCATTGTAGTTTTGATTTGCATTTCTCTAATGGTTAGTGATGTTGAGCATCTTTTCATGTGCCTTTTGGCCATCTGTATGTCTTTTTTGGTGAAATGTCTCTTTAGGTCTTCCACCCATTTTTTAAGTGGATTGTTGTTTTGATATTGAGCTCCATGAGCTGTTTGTATATTTTGGAGATTAATCCTTTGTCTGTTGTTTCATTTGCAAATATTTTCTCCCATTCTGAGGGTTGTCTTTTCATCTTGTTTATGGTTTCCTTTGCTGTGCAAAAGCTTTTAAGTTTTATTTGGTCCCATTTGTTTATTTTTGTTTTTATTTTCATTACTTGAGGAGGTGGTTCAAAAAAGATCTTGCTATGGTTTATGTCAAAGAGTGTTTTTCCTATGTTTTCCTCTAAGAATTTTATAGTGTCCTGTCTTACATTTAGGTCTTTAATCCATTTGGAGTTTATTTTTGTGTATGCTGTTAGGGAGTGTTCTAATTTCATTCTTTTACACGTAGCTGTCCTATTTTCCCAGCACCACTTACTGAAGAGGCTATCTTTTCTCCATTGTATGTTCTTGCCTCCTTTGTCATAAATTAGGTGACCATATGTGTGTGGGTTTATCTCTGGGCTTTCTATCCTGTTCCACTGATCTATATTTCTGTATTTGTGCCAGCACCATACTGCTTGATTACTGTAGCTTTGTAGTATAGTTTGAAGTCAGGGAGCCTGATTCCTCCAGCTCCATTTTTCTTTCTCAAGATTTCTTTGGCTATGGGCTTCCCTGGTGGCGCAGTGGTTAAGAATCTGCCTGCCAATGCAGGGGACACGGGTTCAAGCCCTGATCTGGGAAGATCCCACATGCCACAGAGCAACTAAGCCAGTGCACCACAACTACTGAGCCTGTGCTCTAGAGCCTGCAAGCCACAACTACTGAGCCCGCGCACTGCAACTACTGAAGCCCACACGCCTAGAGCCTGTGCTCCGCAACAAGAGAAGCCAATGCGATGAGAAGCCCGTGCACTGCAGCAAAGAGTAGCCGCCACTCACAACTAGAGAAAGCCCGCGCACAGCAACGAAGACCCAACGCAGCCAAAAATAAATAAATAAATAAATAAATAAAAAGATTGCTTTGGCTATTCGGGGTCTTTTGTGTTTCAATTACCCGTTACTATAAAATATTTAAGATACACTGCTATTGTAAAAATAATGTTGCTAATTGTTTTCAAATTAACACACTGCAATAATTTAAAATTATGATTGACTATTATATACCTTTTTAAATCCAAATAGTTGGTGAAAGTGAGGGTGTTGTAACATTCTCATGTAAAGCTCCTGAGTGTAAATCTAGCTCTCAAAAGCCTTAAAATCTTGGCTGTAATCCCATTTCCAGGTCTCTGTCTCAAAAGAAAAAAAAAAAAATAGGAAAAAATATTGACAAAGATTTGTGTGTCTCATTTATTATCAGAGACATTTGAAAACAAAATGTTAAGCAGCAAGGGAATGTTAAAAAAAAATGTGGGGCCTTCACCAGCAGTCCAGTGGTAAGACTCTGCCTTCCAATGCAGGAGGTGTGGGTTCGATCCCTGGTCGGGGAACTAAGATCCCACATGCCGTGGGGTGCGGCCAAAAACTTAAAAAAAAAAAAATTGTGATCCATCTGTATGATGTTATGTAACCTACTGAAATGCTTATAAAGAACTTTGGATAAAATGAGAAAACACTTACGAAAAAGAGAATACCAATTTTTTTCTTTCTCTTCTTTTCACCCTCCCTCCCTCTGTTCTTTCTACCTTAAAGGGAATTTGCCAAGACTAACAGTGGATGTCCACAAATATTGCTCATACATGATTTTTACTTTTGTTTTCTCTGTAGCTTTCAACATTCCCTTTATTTTCTATAATAAACAAGTATTTTTGTAATGAGAATACAAAATTTCATAAAGAAAAGTCTTATTATTCCCTAATTCAATCCTCAAAAATAGAAGTGAATGTCTATATTATTTTTCCTTTTTTTTTTTTGCGGTACGCGGGCCTCTCACTGTTGTGGCCTCTCCCGTTGCGGAGCACAGGCTCCAGACGCGCAGGCTCAGCGGCCATGGCTCACGGGCCCAGCCGCTCCGCAGCATGTGGTATCTTCCCAGACCGGGGCACGAACCCGTGTCCCCTGCATCGGCAGGCGGACTCTCAACCACTACACCACCAGGGAAGCCCTATTTTTCCACTTTAAAGATAAGGGATCTTTATCTCACAGTGGTAAAGACACCTGTACAAAATTACACAATTAAAGTACAAAGCCATTCTATGTCCCAAGCACATCCCATGCGTTGGAAAGACAATACACCAAATGGAATGTACTAATAAAGCAACACCCTATATAAAGAAGACACATTCAGAAGTTCTATCTTCCTAGGGATCAGACCTTGCAGTGCCACCCCAGGAAATTAATTCCTTTCTTCTCCAATACTTACTCAAGTGGTTATCTACAATCAGATACGTAGCTGCAGGAATTTACTTTGCTAACTTAAGAGTTAATGCAAACTAAAGACTTGCCAAACTGGATTCTTCTCTTTGCTGGAATTAGAATATTTTGTGATTGCAAGGAAGTGCAAGGCCACCTTGATAAAGAACAAGAACCTGAAGCCAATGGGATAGAACAGAGAAAAGAGAAATGTTTGCATGTACTTTCAAAATTCCAGCTCCGAGTACTTGTAATGAGGTGTGTGTAGGGTCCAGGGCAGGGGGATGGGAGGGGGGAGTGACTGAAAACTAAGTATCCAGCATTGGTGAATGATTATGAAAGTATACACTGACACAATGGAAGAATACCATGTAGTCATTAAAAAGAATGTGTAGCTACTCTCCATATAAAGATCTTCAAGATGTTATTAAGGAGAAAAAATGGAAAAGCTCATAAATAAATAAATATCACACATACAACTACAGATACATATCTGCTTGAATATATAATTTTCTGGGAGAATAAAATAAGCATTATTAGCAGTGTTTCCCTCTGGGAGATGGGATGGGGAGTCTTGAAATAACTTTATGTCTTTTAAGTTTAAAACACACACACACACACACACACACACACACATCCCTCCTTGGCTTAAAAGCAAGTCTTAAAAGCACTCATCTGATGATTTTCTATAATCAAACACTTCTTTCTTCTCTCTGATTCTAGGAAAAGGTAAAGAGCAACTTTACAAACTGTTACAGCTTTCATGATCACTTGACTGCTAACAAAACGACTCGAAGAATTCAAATACACAGTCACATTTTAAAACCTTCAAGACATAGTTTAATCAGTAGTTGTAATGCACATTTGCTAGCGAGAGCTGCACTTTAACAATTATACAGACATCACCTGCAGTTATTAAAGTTATCAAAATATATAAAAACATTCAAGTAAGAAGTATGCAAATTAGCAGCATTTAACTAAATGAATATATTAGCATATTTCAGTATAATAATAGGGAAAG